TAAGTACTAGGAAGCTTTAATTTTAGCATCGACGACCGCAAAAAAGCAATAGGTTTATTAAGTGAAAACAAAAACCTTTTAATTGCACGTGCGATCACGCTTTTTTGTATATTTCTTTGCTGTCAATGCATGGTACGACGTGTTATAGACCTAAGGAAAAAAAAGCATAGCGGGAAAAAATAGCCTTTTAACTTGAGAGATTAATATTTCATCAGTTTCCATGGTCTCTTTTTTCCCGAAATTTCCTCAGTGTTCTGTTCCGTGAGTCCGACAAATTTTGCTGGGCCTAATTTACTAACACCGCACAGATCAGCGGAACTTAAATACCGAGGAGTTCCCACATGTGTTTCGTGGAGGTGGGGCTTAAAGGAGCGCTTTGCACGCGCCCCGGCTGTTAAAGGTCCCTAAAACAGCTTTGATATGTGTAGTGTTTTGACGTCTATGACGTACTGGTGAGACTTTATGAGGACGAACTAGCTGACCATGACTGTCACTACCTCTAAAAGCCGTGGGTTGATGTACATGTGTCCGTTAACCCTAGTCACACCAAGGGAGGTTCCTTTGGAGCGGGGAAGGGGCGATAATGCACCGCAAAAAAGCGAGACGAGAGAGAAGGCAATTTTATTTGTCTTTTGCCATTTTGCAAATTGTCTCTACCGAGTCTCAGGCGCTTAATTTTGTTTGAGAAGAATCGAGAAAAAAAACATCTAGAGCTATGGTACCTGATGTTCAGAACCGCGGATAAGAAATGGAACTGTATTTTATAAAAATAAGCCGGAATTTTAGTCTAAACTGTCTGCTTAGAATATTGTTCCTGAACTGTTCGAAAGAAACATAGGTATGACCAGGAATCAAGCAGTATTTTTTGAGGCAGTCTACGTTAAAAAGGTATGCCTTATTCTCATCAGCCGCAGAATTGAATTCGTCTTAGAGTCTATATATATAGTTGGGCGTGTAGGAGAGACGACGCCACAAAGTACTCGTCCAAGTTTTTCGGAGTATTCCGTTCCCGAGATTGATTTTAGGTATACTGAATCTCTATCTTCAAGCTGCCCTTTGGGCAATGGTTTTTTTTCTTCATACTTAATAACGTTTTTTCAGTCTTGCCTTATTCCTCCACAACTTAGCCGAAAGAACTACTCTGTTTGCAGAGCAATTAAATACTGAAATACAAAATAATCGAAAATTAAACTTACGAAAAATTTAACATGATGATGTTTGTACCACGCCATAAATGTTTGTACTCGGTATACTTGCCTCCACTTTGTGGTTATCCTCTAACTTCATAAAGAGAACCTCACAATTAACCTTTCAAACATCTTTACAAAAAACAAATTTGCTCTAAAGAAGCTCAAATGGACATACAAGTTTTCACTCTACAAAGCTACCTAAAAATGCTGGGGTCATGAGCTTTCATTTTGGAGATAACCGACTCATGCAGAGACTGACCGGACGCTTCAGCTAGCGCTCCGCGTTCATTTGTTGCTAGGCTAGTTAAGATCGTTTCTTGTTTTTCTTCGTTGACTAATGGGTGACAGAGTGAAAGCGTTAAGAAGAGAAAACGATGATTTAAAGAGGCAACTGAATGAGATGAAGAAGGAATTTCAGTAGTAGTCTCTAGTCATTATTGTCAATTTTAGTCCCTTTAGTTCTCTTGTTACTTTTAGCTGTATTTAGTTGTACTTATTTTCTGTAAACATGACCTGCCTAGATTAGCTTAGCTACCCGCGGGCATGTTATTGTACTTTTACTTCAAAACACAATAAAATAAAATGTATGTGTGTAAATGTATGGGGTCAGTCCATTTGGTTTTCGGGCTAAGTGGGCTCTTTGTCCTTCAAAGCTGGATTTGCTTATTTTGTTTCTAATACTTTACAACTTCAATACCTTCAATCACTTTTAAGCGGACATAAACGATAAGGAAATTAAAGTTGAAATTCAGCAATGAAAAAATGCATTGTTTTTATGCTGCTGGTATGTCTTTTGTGCTTTCGGTTTTGGCTGTAGATGTCCGACTAGGAGAAATTGGAGAGAAAAAAATGCGCCACGGAGACCAAACAAGGATTAAGAAGAGAAAAGTTGCTGATATTATTAATCTATTTAAGAGGTTGAGACTCATTCATTCTGTTTCTATGCCGATTCATAGCAATTAATTTGTGCAGAAGCGAAGCGATCATATAATGTTAGAAACTCAGGCCTGCGTGGTAGTACCCTGGTGGCAGATGTAATCTCTCCCCAATCCCCTCTCCCTTGTCCCTCTTTTCCGATCCATCCCGTTTCGACTACTGCCACTCGGGCTATAGAAACTTTTAAAACAACTTATATACAGCTATTTCGAGAAAGCTTGTCGGGAAAAACGTGTACGCGACAATCCTGAAAGGTAATATGTTATATGATCAATACATTGTTTCTAACGACTGTAGCTGTCGAACCTACTTTTGTTGCTCTCCTTCAGCACTCGGATCGCAAACATACGTCCGTGGCCTCCCGTGCCCTTTCACATTTCTTCGAAGAACAGTGCACTCAAAACACCCACAATACCTTTCGGGATTATCGTGTGCACTTTGTCCGACAACCTTTCTCGAAATAGCTGTATACCTAGCCTTTCAGGTGTTAGTTTAAATTCATTGATTCTAAAATCAACAATGCTTTAAAGAATGACGTGTACTTGTTATACTGATTCAGAATAGATGTAGAGATAAAAAATTAGAGTGGCTGAAAACTCAACCGATTCTTTCAGCTGTAATTCTCAAATTAACCCATGATTAAAACTAACGAATAATCCTTCAACAACAACTTTTATACTAAATTGTTTTCGGTGTGAAAAACAACAGAATAAAATGTCGGTCGCTGTTTCTTGGATTCGTTCTTAAGTTCTAAACGATTCAGAAATTTTGATAAATGACTAAAAATAAGTGTTTGCAGATACTGCCTTATGCAAAAAATAAAGATGTCGCCTGGATAAATAATTTGAATGCTGTATCTATAATGGGCCTGATTGAGAGGGCGAAACCTTCCATCGCTCCCTTTTTTCCCGGTCTCGCCAAGCTCTCCTGAAAGCAAAAAATTAAGCCCCATCCACTTGTTCACAATCAGTTAAGACAAAGAAAACTCTGTATGCTGTAATATTGGTCATTTACACGTTTATTATTTTTTTGTAATGGTATATTAATTAATTAACTCTGAGTTAAAAAAAAAAAAAAAACGAACGTCTTGATTTACAACAACGAAACTCCAAGCTGTAGACACCAGGACAACTTCATTGCTCGTAAGAAATTAAGTCAGTGTACTGCGATGTCAAATTTCCTATTCACTGTCCGCGAGTGTAAATTCTCTTTTGCAGTGTTCTCTGGCGACTCTGCACAAGGCACGTCCGGCTTTTTGGTGCTGAAATATTCAGAACAATAAAAATAGATGTTAATAGATTAGTCACACAATATGGTCTTTTTTAACTTAGGTATGTTTCACGAATGACACTGCAATATCAAAGCTGAAACCGCGATTTGCTGAACTAAGAAGTCAAGAAAGGAATTCTATAGGTTTGGTAAAGGAATTTCCACAGCCGATCGCGTAACCTTGAAGATTAAATTTCGTAGATGTCATTTACAGTACTTCAAGAATAATTTATCAAGTGTTTAAAAATCTTTCTGAACAGAGTTGGGAAGTATTTTATTGAAAACTGGCACAACCTGGTCGAGAAAATGAATATTATTCCTGATGGAAATTCTCAGCATGTGCCTTAAAGAATTGAATTGGACGTGTAAAACAACTGCAGAGGTCAGACTTCATGCAAATTTTCTGTTAACTTTTATTCTCAAATTTCTTTCACAAGTTCGTTTCGAAAAGCAGTTGTTTTCTAAAATGAATATTGGCCCTAGAATCACTTATGCACACAAAACAGGTTGATTAGAGTTCACTAAATTCTTTTTCATGACGTGTCATAGTCTAAGTTAACGTCAAACATTTTGATTGAAGATTTCACCGAGTCAAATCCGTATTGAACTTCAAATAATTTAATTGAAGTTTTCATTTATGCCTTTTCATGGCAATTTAGTCTTTGTTCACGCTTTAACTATTCTGAAAAGAGTTGGAGATATACAGAATAATTCAGAGCCAATAGATAAAAGGTTTATAAGTTTACAAACTTACCGCATATTCACGCTTGGCTCCTCTTGGAATATTTCCTCCACCTCCAGCTGTAAAAGCTTCGCTATCTGGTACAAAAGAAACAGCAAGAACTAAAACCACAAAAATGAGGAAACCTTTAGAGTTCATTGTGGATGACGTTTATGTTTCTGTTTTCCCTTGACTGAAGTAGATGTTGCTATCTCCTAGATGGTCAAGCTGGCTGTGACGGGAAATCTAAGAGCTGTGTTTTATCCCTGCACAAGAACAAAAGCCATGCCTCTGTAATTTCCGCGTCACCGGAATTACATTTTAATGAAGTTATAATTGAAAATAAATTGTTGTTTTGACAGTTCAAGTGTAAACACCTTTCTCACTATTACTAGCCAAAATTTCCGGACTATTATGAAATACTGAAATGAGAGAAGAACGCGCGAAGCGACAGTTCCTCTTTGAAGATCATCTCACATTTAAACTCAGATTTAATTTCAATTTTAGTTTAGTAGGTTAGTGATAGCTGGATGTGTTTCTCAAGTTCGGATTGAAATTCAACACCAAATACGACTTAAGCAGAGAATTCCGTTCAGTTTCTGTTTAAATTTGTGAAAGCATTTGTAGTTGTTGTTTAGAAGTGAGAACAAACACTGTTATAGGCGGGAGATCAGAGAAAAGATTAAAATTTCTTCATATCCTTGCGTGTGCCCATACAAGGATGCAAATGAACAGTGAAGCCAAAGCTGTTTATGTTGAGTAAAAGTGGAAATTTATTTATTGTTTTGCCTAATAATACAAGTAGAAAAGCACAATATCTTTTTCAAAATATTTTGCCGAGGATTTGTTAGATTGAGACTCACTGCGCTTGCTTCGAAAATTTCAATTAATCTAATTTGTAAAGAGTCAATTTCATTGCTGAAAGCGTTGTTTTGGAGTCAATAGGAGTAGAGATTATTTTCAATTCCGTTAAAAAAGGTCAAATTTTTGACAACAATTGCTTTCAAAGTTGTTTACCTTGCACAGAAATGAGATCATTCGGCAGGCTTCCCATTATACTTCATGACATTTACATTATTTCGTCTAATGATAACCGTATTAAAAAGTACATATAGAACCATGCACCCACTCGCAGCAGAATCATGATTTCAAAGCGAGAGGTTCTGAAATGTGCCTTAGATGAGAGATAAGCTCATACACATGGTAAATTATGCGAAAAACTCTGAGCAAGAACAAAGAGAAGCTAAACAAACCAACCATGGCGTAAAGCAAAGGAACAAATCCATTTAGATTTTATTAAAGATATAAAGATATGAATTGAACAGTAGCTGTCGTTGTTATATAAGCGTTTAGTGACATACCACCGGCAAATGAGTAAGATAGCAACAGATTTAGTAGATAAAATTATGAGGAGAATTGGCTTGAACGTTTTCTGCATTTTAAAGAGATGAAAAAATATCACAAAAATGGTTAAAAAAGGATGCTTATGACGATACTTGGCTGTACAAGAATGACTTATGACTCCGGGCTATTAATTTGTTCCTTTATCGTTTACACAGAGTTCGTAGTTAGAACATATCAATGTTTGCACAGTCTAATGGAGTCAGTGAGGGTGATTTTCACCGTTAGTGTAAAATAAAAATAAAGATACGACCAGCATGGTATAAAGATTTATTATTCTGTTCTTCTTTTTTTCAAAGGGAAAACGGAGATTAAAGACTTGGCGACATACTAGATAAACCTTTATCTCAACAAAAAAAATAATAATCTGAAAACTAGTACTGTCTGGCTACTAATCAGCAGGCATGTTGATCGAATGCCATTATTTTCAGCATAGTAAACCAAACTCGTGAAACCCTACTCAACCAGCATTCTGTTTTAAGACTAAAAAGAAGAAATTTATTTTGTAGCAGGCTAAACATAAAATGACATAATTTCCAAGAGGGTTATCAGTGGAAAACTACGTAAAATAAAAGCCGTGTAACACGTTGCCTTAACGTACGTAATATCGAAGCTATGAATGACTAAGGAAGATGCTTAACTAGTGATATGGGTCGTTTTCCTCATGGAGCCTTTGTGTTGAGTTTTTTACTTGCTTTGTGTGGAAAAGCAGAGATAAAGTGTTATTCAGATCGTAGACGTTTTCTCGAGAAAGGAGATGAAAAGCTGTTTGTTTGAAATGATAAAATTTTAACAGTTCATTCTGTCAGTTTAAGACTAAAAGGAAGAAATTTATTCGTAGCAGGCTAAACATAAAATGGCATAATTTCCAAGAGGGTATAAGTGGAAAACAACGTAAAATAAAAGCCGTGTAACACGTTGCCTTAGCGTACGTAATATCGAAGCTATGAATGACTAAGGAAGATGATTAACTAGTGATATGGGTTGTTTTCCTGATGGAGCCATTTGTGTTGAGTTTTTTACTTACTTTGTGTAGAAAACCAGAGATAAAGTATTATTCAGATTGTAGACGTTTTCTCTAGAAAGGAGCTGAAAAGCTGTTTGTTTGAAATGATAAAATTTTAACGGTTCCTTCAGATGAAAAATTACTGCTTCTTAGAAAACAAAATGTTTAAAAAGAGAAATCTGATTCCGAGATTTTAATGATCTTTATGGGAATTCGAATAATGTATTCTGTTTTTAAAAAGAGAAATCTAATTCCAAGATTTGAATGATTTTACGAGAATTCTTAGAATTCACATGTTGTTATCTGTTCTCAGTTTAGGCGGAAAGGATCGAGCAAGGAGTTCAAATGTAATATGAAGACTACGTCAGTGTGCTGAGGTCCGCGTAACGGTCTCTCCTTGTTGGATATGTTTTGTTAGCTTTAGCCGGAACTTTAGCAGAGGGATATTAAACCTCGATTAAGGATAATAATAATAAATGATGTAAATTACAACACCGGAAGACCTCTCGTTTTGTAGGACAAAAGGTGCTTGGCTTTCAGTCGGAAGCTATCATCGGAACTTAAAGGCATCGCAGCCTAGCTCGTAAGCGGATGTCTTCTGTCAAAGGCCTTCGTGTCGCGTCTTTATTTCAATTTCCATAAAGCAACTCATCTACAGAAACCGATCAAATTTTTTTAGTTAACAGACGTTTAATCCACTTAAAGGGAAAGAAACTTTATCAATTTTATTTTTAGCTGGACTCCAGTTCTCGAAAAAGTCTTGTTCCATTCTACATTTAAACGCCGTCCACAGCAAGCTCTGTGGAGTCGCCTTAGCAAAAAAGCTCAGAATCATGTTCTCAAAGGGCGCTTGAGAACGTCTTCGAATTCAGATGCAATCAGTCAGATTGTCTAAAATCAAGCTGTTAAGTAGGAATGTAATCAATAAATATTCTTGAATTATTTATAACCGATTTAAATTTATCTATGTTCCTAAACCGTAATACTTATTTTTAACTTCTTGAGGCGTAATTCATTTCTCTTTTGTTCGTTACATGAACGAGGAAAAATTATCGATTTGTTTTTTGTCAGTTTAGCTTGACATTTTTCTACTACGGTAACCATTTTTCGCCCCATAGGAGGGCTGTTACTCCACAGTTAGCACCTGAAGGTTATTTTAATTAATATTTTTTTATAATGTGACTGCACGCTGTTATTTTAATGAGGAACTGCTTTCTAAAGGATATTAAAACACCAAGACATTCAGTTTATTAGATAGTGAAAAACGTATTCATTGATATAAGGGAACTTTAAGCCGATTTTACCCTATTTCTTGCTGTCATCTCGTGTTTTGAAGACCGGTAGAACATGCAGATAAAAATTTGGTTTTATCAACCAAGTTGATGAAACCAGTTAAATGGGTCAGGGTGGACATACAATAGACGACTTTTCGACCTTCGTCAGAATGAATCAAGGAATTGAGGATTGTGTGTGATTTAGTTGGGGAGCTACGTCACTGGAAGAAACATTGCAACACGGAGGTAAAAAATATAGACTCTATAATTGACCGATGGCGTCATTTCACTTGTATAGCGTGTTTTCACATGACGTCATGGCGGCCATATTGATGTTCCAAAACAATGAAACGGCGGCCATGTTGGTGTCCAAAAAACCAATCCTGTGGGAGTTCAACTCTTTTCTCATGTAAATGCTTCCTTTTGTTGCAATAAATTAGCATAGATGCTGGCCACGTGAGTGAAAACGCTCTATTGCCAGAATCCATTTCGCATCTCCTTTGATATTTAAATCTAGCAATCCCAGCAACGTTTAAATAACAAAGCCCAAACATGCACAAGGCAAACCTTAATACATTCGCTCCTGGAGATTTTGCCGAAAAACGCGTTTTGAAGCTAGTCGAGTGGTTTTCTGGTCACTGTCGTGCTATAAAGAGCTAAAACTTACCACAAACCGGTTTACAGGTCGTACACTTCGTGGCCTTCTGATCCAGATGCAAAATATCAGCTTGCGAAGTTCGGGCATGCGCAGAAAGCAAAATTTACTTTTCGCTTTCTCTCCTCCCTTCTTTTTTCGCTTTTCTTGCCTCATTTTTTTTCTCTTGCTGGGCATTTAGTAGGCTTCATTATATTTTGGTGGGAAGAGTTTTTAGGAAAGCTTTTAGGATCTTAGGATTAGGTGAAAGGAAAGGTAGGTGAGCAATGCAACAAGATTTTCATAGAGATTTTCAGGTCAATGTCACGTGGTTTTTTGCTTCTTTCTCCGGTGTCCTTGACTGAATCGTGCTCATTCTGGTATGGTTTGAAAGATCTCTTCACTCTACACAAGTTAGCGAAGAAAGTTGTCCTCGACCGTTAAAACTGATGACGTCACAAAGGGTAGAAAGGACCTGGATCCGCGCGGGCGGTTACGGGCGGTTCAGGGGCGAATGGGTTAAAGGATTCTGGTAAATGACATCATCGTACGAATAGCCTAGTTTAACAAATGTTTAACAGCTCATGCTTTCTAACATATTAATCTAGCCTAGGACTAAGCCTCGTAGTGGGGGAAAAAGGCAAAAACGGGTTGAAAAACTGATGGACTAGGAAAGGGCGCTCTTTTCCCTCCCCAGACTCCTGCTCGGCTTGCCTCTGACTGACCGATTGAGTTGAGTGATGAGCGTGCGCGGTAAGGTGTCTGCAAATCATTCTTTGCAAAGTCTATTCGTTCTATGAAGAAATAAAAACTTATTTTCGCTGAATAGGTAGTTTTCCGTCTTGATGTGGATTACAAAGCGCTTTTCATATGTTTCGTTGGACGACTTGTTAAGTTAATCGTTCAGTATTAAGATTAAAACCTTTGCAACATAAAAAGTAGAAAACAAAATATAATCGCCTTGTAATTGGCGTGTACTGGTGCGTTCACCCACGCGCGCTTTACTTTCCTCATGTCATAATACATATTGCACCCATGATATGAAGCATGGGAGGCGCTATCAACAAGTCCACCTTCAAGACGCTCAAATATTCTTTATTTTGAAAAATTTCTTTTCTACCCAGTATCATAATAAATCTTGCAGATAGTGTTAGTATTTAGCGCTTGTAACCTAGATTTCGTTTGCAACGGCTGAAAGAGATTTCAGCTGAGAGGTCTGCATCGTCGTGCTAATCGCGACACGAAGAGATGTCAAATAAGCAGGTGTTCTAAGTTTTCAGTCTGTGGTAGGTAGAAGCCCTGTGGTGTGAACATTGAAACCTCATGAGCGGTTCTTTTACCTGATTAGAATATAGACAGTCAGGGAGTCAAAGCTCTATTCAGGGGCCACCCTTCATGGGAAAGAGAAAAGTAGTCAATTAAAATTGGCTTGATAGTGGTTAAGACTTCAGCGTTTTGTCCGCAAGGACCTCGGAAAATCGCTGCTAAATAGAGTTTTGACTGTAGATAAGAAACGTGGAAACTTTCCTGTTGATGGTTACCAGCGCGACAAAATTGTGTAACCAGCACACAAAAGGGCCACGTTAACAGTCTTAGCTGCTGAGCCAGCTAAAACGACAGTTCAGTTTTTTACCTTTTTCGTCTTAAAGTTCTTTCCAACACGTAAAATAATATTTTCATAAGTGAAAACTCTTAAAACCGTTGCTGGCGATTGGCTTCATAGAAGCGACATTAGAAAGTCTCCAGCGCAGGCTTTTTGGGGGAAGAGCCTGGCGTGACGATCAAAGGAACGCCTGCCTGGAGACATCAAAGCAGAGCTCTGCGAAATAACGCAAGGCTATTCAGAATTGATTAATTTGTAAAAATTATGTATTTATTTCGAGAACGCAACAAGCATAGTCACCAACGAAACCGCCTATCCCAACTTGCACTATGATACAAGCATGGCGGGTTTTCCAATAGTTGTCGAAGCTAGCATTTATCAAACACAAGTTCTCTCTTTAGAAAAATCAGCTCATAAGTCTTAGCTTGTTTGTTCAAGCTTCTTGTAAGCTGTTGTGAACTGGCTCTACCCACTTAATAGGCCTTTTTCAAAAAAACCCACAATACTCTTTGCTGTCCCTCCAAAATTCTGCAAAAGCATTGTTTTCAATATTATTTCTCTTGGGACTTACAGTTGAAAACAATGCTTAAGCAAACCTTTGTAGGGCGAACAAAGAGCATTATGGTATTTTTGATAAAAAGGCCTATTCGTAGTATCCGTTATTGAACAATATTTTTCAGTAATCTTTGTTTGACAGCTCTTGAAAACCCGGACACTTCTTCCATTTAATATCTAAAAACTCTTCTTTATAAATCTGGTTTATGATATCCTAACATTCTCGAAAGGATTTAAAACTGTGAACCATTTCGACTCACATTGTCAAGATGCAAATGGTAACTTTTTAACACAAAGAACGTCTGGGCTATAAATATTTACAGGCGAAAATAAGTGATTTCTGTCTTAATTCCTATACAACAATTTCAACCTCCGTAACTATGATTCTTTAAATGTCTCTTGCAGGAAGCAGCCACAACATTTGTCTCGCGAAACGGAGTTTCAATAAATATTTCACTTTTCCAAGAAACTTTGTCCAGATTTGATCTTTCCTCATCTCTTGTCACTAAAGCTCTAAAAGGATCTAGAATAAGAAAACAAAAGTGATGACTGTTAAAGAGTGTTTTCTGGACATTGTTCCATTTATAATCAATGAATGTTTGCTTCTCCTCGTTTCCCTTGCGGAATTCCACGAAATTCTCAATGAAAGACTTTGTAGCACTTCTAGCTAACCTATGCCAGTCACCTCAATTCTTTCACTTCTTATTCGTGTTTTGTTCAAATGAAGAATAAAATGACTGTATTGGATTTTAGTCTTTATAGATTCACTTTGCTGTTCACTAATGGAAGGTTGTTTTACCACTTGCGAACCCTATAAACTGTGTTACCGCAATTTACTATCTATTTACGGTTAACAAAATAGAGGTTGGGGAGAAGAAAATGCAAAACAAATTGCAAAACAAAATCATATTGAACAAAAATGCCTTATACAATCAGGGGTCAATTTCAATAACATCTTTAGAAGTTAAAAATTTACAAGTGTAGTCATTGTTTTGGAGTCTGAAGACAATAGCTACACTTGTAAATTACACTTGTAAAAGTTTTATTAAATTTGACCCCAGCATAGCAGTCATCGCCCTGGAACAACCTACCTCTATCTTTCACACAGGTAAAGGTTCCTTTGAATTTCTGATAACAGGTATATTTCCATTGTTTAACACAGCCGAAATTTCGGTCACTGGCGATTGATATGTTGGTCTCGTGGCCTGGTTGTGGAGCAAGACAAACACTATTAGTATTAGTATAACACAGGCAAAAAAATAAACAAAGAGCAGTTACTAACGTTGTTTACTATTTACAAATAGTTTCCGGAAAATCCGGTTGAAAAGTAAAGGGAACACGACTTATGGGTTGCTCTAGGGGAGACTTCAGAAAATTTGAAAAGGTAGTTCTGGACGGAATACGCCAAACGGAAAGTCGTGTTCCATTTCTTCAAAGCCATCTTTGATACCAGTTTCAGGCCTTCACGGTCATTTTTTGGTAAATGGGACTGATTTGTGTAAATGGTAAACGCCATTCCGGGACAAAATTTACCAGTCCCGAATTTTGCGTACCATTTGCCCAAATCGTGGACCGACCGGTTTGCCCATTTAAATGGTAAACTACCTAAAAGCAGCATCAAAAAGGACCATAATTTTTTATTATCGTCACGACTTTGTTTTAAAATCACGGTCACCTTGCTTATCAAGGTTTATTGAAAGTCGTATTCTTTTTTGTTGCATACAGAAATGCTACAAAAAGGCTACGTCCGCGAAATACAAGATCAGGCTAAAGCAAGACAATGTCGGTGTCTTAAAAAGATATATCCAGGAGAAAATTTGACTCACAAGCAAGAATCAACTCACCTGGGGAGCAAATGAAGGCTTTCCTTTCTTCTCTCTGTATATTAAGTAGGTAACGAACGTTCCCATAGCAGCAGCAAAGATACCGAATACAACTCCCAGAGCTATAATGCCGTCTCTACTAACACTTGTTGATTTGGGTTCTTCCGTCCCAGCGACTTCTTTGGTGCTATAAAGAAGAGAATGGAAACAGTATTAGAGTACTGTGCCACTATGTAAGGCAGCTATGTTCACACTCAAGAACGGTGATTTCGAAGCGATTTCAGGCCAGCTTTTCGTCGGAGTGTCTCAACATTTTTTAAAACTGGTTATAGTACACTAAATTTTGCTGTAAACTTTTACGGAGACGCTTTAAAAACGAGGAAAAGTGAATAACGGCCACGTAAACAAGAAACGCACGAAACCTGTGAATCCGCTCACCGAAACCGCATCTTTTTGAAACCGCTCTCCAGAGTTGTTTAAGATCCCGTTCACACGAATCTAGGTAAAAAATATGCGGTTTTAAAAATGTCTGGATACTTGTGGACGGTGCCAGTAGAAATGACGAAAAAAGCCGCTTTTTTTTCCTGGCGGCCAGGAGACATGGTTCCGCGCGCATATTGTCATTCGCCAGGCTTTACTAGTCTGTGGGGACAAGTTCAGTTCACCAGAGTATAAAAAATTACTTTACCTTGGGGGCAGTTGATCGGGTGGAGGATTCACGCTACCCCCTGGCCAAACAATCTTTCTCTTGATACTGAGGCCTTGATCCGGGGATGGGTCATATGAGCCAACTTTAATCCAGGAGTCACCATTTAAATTCACCACGTCGTAAAGCGCGGGGGCGTCTTGATTAGAATCGAAGAACATTTTTCCTCCAGTGGCGCTATCGAATCCTGTATTTGTATCTTTCATTTTTCGTAGTTCCTTCATCAATTCTGTTTGAACCTCAGACCGGGTTGAATACTGAAAGAAACAGTTAGATGAAAATACTTACAATATTTTCAACAAAGTGCGTCCACGCTTGGAATGAGAGTAATGAGACCGTAGATGCGATGAACTTGACATGAAATGCTTTGAAAAGTGAACGGAGAGTTAAAAAAATGCACTTTATTGAGTGCCAATGTATTTAGCAGGAAAGTACTAACTGGGACACTATTTGTACGTCTCCTTCTGGAGACGGGACGGGACCGCTATTTTACGTGGTCATACGAGCCACGCGAAGGTGTGGCCGTTTGATCCCGCGACCTCCTGAGTGCTCTACCGACTGAGCTAATCTTGCCGCTGTCGAATTTGCGAATCATTCTTTCAGTAAAACAAGCCGTGTTTAATAATAAGGGTATATCTCGTTTTCCAAGGCTCCTTGGATACGCACGGCTACTAAGCAGGAGCTGTTCAGGATATTCTCACCTTGTTTATCGTTCCAGCTTCATGAAGTGTTGTCAGAGCATGCGCATAAGCGAGAACTGCGTCATAGACTTGTGCAACATATGGCGAAGCCTGCGGAACAAACAAAAAAAACGAGTTTTTACACAGGTAAATTTATTAACAACCGAATTGAACAGGACAGAGGACCGCAGAAAATAGGCTGGGGCCTAACCTGGAGTATTCGAGGCAAGTGTATTAGGCCTGGGAATGAAGCTGCATCTTTTTCCTTCCAGATCTTTAGCAGTCTCTGATACAGAACTCCTTCGCCGTGTTTGGGCCTGGTACCTACCATCCCTTGCATGGCTCGTCGCAAGTTCGGAGATTCAGTGAAACTTGATGTCGTTGCACCGTCGGTACCAATCCACGTCCAGCCTTTACCGGTCATGCCCTGGGAACGACACAAGAAATGAAAAATTAGACGATGGGTTCTTAAGTAGATCACCTATAAGGTTGCGGATTGACAGGAATCGATCAGTTCCAGTTAGTTACCTGCTCAACTGCTTCCTGAAAAACTTTCTCAGAATCATCGGTAGCGGCGCTGACCAGATTTACTGCACACCTGCTTTCCTTCATCTGCATGATTAGAAATTGTCACATGAGTTAGGTGACTGGAATTCACTGTTTACAGCGGATGTGTGCTTAGTTGCTCAAGCAAACCTAGGCACTTTACCCAAATAATCGAAAACAACCTAGTAATCAAAAATTAGATGGCAGGAGGTAACACAGCTTGCTGTTTACAAGAATGGCTTACAATGACAGAAGTCAAGAAAACTAAGGAACAAATTCTGTTGCTAATCAGAGCGGGACAGGAACCCGAAATCAGGTTTGGATTGTGAGTCTGACTCGCTGATCAGTCGGCCACGCTCCTGCCCGTTAAGTTTTAGGTGACTAAACATATGTTATTTGAAGAAAGAAAGTGGTTTACGAAGAGGAAATATATATGTACGTCAAGTTTATGGGAAATAGACTGTTCCTACCTCTCTGAGATTTTCTTTAATGCTGTTTTTAGTGTGGGCTTCAAATCGCTGCTCAGTCTTAATGTCGACTCCCACCCGCCTCACGTTCACGGCAAACTTTCGAACCAGATCATCGCTGTACGAGTCAAACGTGCTGATAGTAGAAACCTGGGACCACTTATACCTTTGAGCAAGCTTTGCCAGAGCTTGTCCTTGATAGACGTCTGAGGTGCAAGTGCGGAAGAAGTTTGGATAAGTCTGTTTATCTGAGAGCTGAGCGGAAGTCGAGGCATATGAAATCTGAGGAATGTTCTTGTGTTTTGTGGCCTCAGCGATGGCAATTGAGCAACCAGATCTGGCCTCTCCGATAATAAGGTCAGTGTCGTCTGGGAGATTCTGAAAAAAAGCGAAAAACAGAGTCTTTATATCAGGGTCCTTTTTTTGAACAAAAAATTCAAGGACTTTTCAAGGACTTTCAAGGACACACTTTCCATTTTTCAAGGACTCCTTTCAGTGCGCACTTTCGAACCAGGTCTTCGCTGTACGAGTCAAACGTGCTGGTAGTAGAAACCCGAGTCTTGAGTCTGTCTTTTTAAGTTCTTCCAAAACATGAGCAATTTTATTCCGAATGTCTTTCTGTGTTTGCTCCTTTTCTTTTGAAGTTCGAGCTAAATTATAAAGTTAGCATTGAAATTCAAGGACTTTCCAGCACCGACTGCAATTTTCAAGGACTTGTGCGAACCATGTTACATTCATATCGGAAATAACCCTATAAGTGTCCAGTGGCCGGCAGCTATGCACTCAAACTTTTAGTAACAAAAAGAGTTCTTACATAAGAAAAAAGTTTAACTCCACACGATCGGTGTGAAGTACCAATATGGCCCTTGTTTTATTGTTTTGGAACGCCAATATGGGGGGCGTGACGTCATGTGAAAACGCTCTACAAATACTTTTGCAAAAGTGAAATTAAAATGTCTCAGATGATAACTGATATGACAAAATTACGTGTCTCCTTGCATAACATACTTTAAGTAAGCTTGACCTTCAGCATGGAGGGCTTCACTTGCTACTGTTATAGCTACTGTTGTTAGTCCATTTATCAGCTTATTATAACCCACCCAAAGCATGATGTGTCAAATGAAACAGACGTTGAGGCAGACCTAACATTCTTAGTAAAATTACAGCTACTGCGATTCCATACACTAAACAGGTGTCCTTCTTACTTCAGAGTCTGTTGCAAAAATCCTAAATGCGCCTACAGCTGAAATTCTTGTAATTGACCAAACTAAGACCCTAAGATTTGGAGGTAGTTTAAAAGATTACCACGATAGCGATTTGACTGTAAGAGAAACATTTTGCTACTTTGGATAAGCCGTCGATAAAGTTAAAATTAGAAAAATTTACAAAGTTCTCAGTTTTGTAGAATGCATGCAGAGGATTCATGTGAATGGTCTCACCCCAGAATTTCAGCAAGAGGCTCAAAAGTGAGAACTACATAGTACGGAAATAATATCATGTAAAAGTACTGTAGAGAGGGTTTCATTTCAGTCATTCTTAGAATTTCGACCAGAGACTCAAAATTTTGAGCCACATCAAAAGCCTCCATCATTCACTATGAAAGAAAAAAGGTCAAAATGAAAATTACTGTGGGTTGCTTTCAAGAAATTAACTCCCTCATACCTCAGCTTCACGCCGACAAGAATCTGAATCATAACCACCATCAGCAAGAACGTAAGTAAACGCCACTTTAAAGGGACCCGAGTTAACAAGCTCCACAGCAACCCTGAAAGCTGCCTGCCACTCACTACCAAGAGTCTTCAATGGTCCTAGGTCTTCATGGATGGGAAAGAACGCAGCGATCTTGTAAGTAGGCCGGCCTATCTCAGGAATGAGAGTGACTCCACCAGGGAAGACAGGGTCTCTTCGCAGACTGATTTCCTTCGTTTTGGAGTCATATTGACCTACAGTGAGCCAGTTGTTGCCCTGGAAATTAGAATCATAGATGTTGTTATTACATAAAGCGCATCTAATAGCTTTTGATGATTAACAAAAATCTTTTTACTCTCAATTTTTCAGCAGCCATGCAGCAACAACTAAAAACCATGCAAATTGGGCCAAAAACACATCTTCAACAACATAACGGAAGGACATAGAAAAAGTTATGAAAACCCGGATTCAGTGAAAACGTTAATCTGTGATAAACAGGATTACAGGCGATAGTAACAGAATTAAGTCCCAATTAACAACTACCCCACTGCGTCACGACAACTTAGTCCATTTTGTTTACTTTTGAAAATCACTGTTATCGCTAACTACGAAAACTAAATTCAGCGAAAAGCCTTGGTCCTGACCGGTCAAAATCATTGGGAAAAAATGTTTATTTATTTCTTGAGTAATTTTCTATTTGTGAACGTGAATGTATTTTTACAAACAGACAAAATGATAATCTATGATCTACAGGTGAAACGTCTTTCGCTGTTTTAAGCAAAATTTAGCTTAACAGTGAGATACATATCCTTCAAACTTACCACAAGGTTAACAACATCGTATAGTGGAGGGGCATCTTGATCTTGATTAAAGAACATAACATTGTTGGTACCAGTGGCACTTGGGAAACCTGTGCTAGGGTCATTAAATGTCCTCAGCTTTTGATAGAGATTGTCTCGCACAGTCTGCACGTCTGACGTCCGGCTGATAACTTTCTTGTTGACCAGGTCTGATAGAGCCAAGGCTACGCCATGTACGGCATCAAACAACTGTGCAGTGAAGGCCGCCGAGGTAGGAGTGGACTGTAATGAACAAGAGTAAACCTTCAGCCAATCGTAACAGAACCCGGCAATCCAAGGAACCAATTAGAACTCGAGAAAAATACGGGCAGCATTTGGTAAGCGCGGGAAGGCGCGTGGAAGCGCGTAACGATTTGCTTGGTTATGACTGTAAACAAGTAAATGATGAAACGCGCCTATGAATATGTCCCTATAGTACTTTTCTTTGTCTTACGGAGAGCAATTGGGAAAACCAGAAACTACAACAGTTACTTCAATAGAAAACACCACCAAGCCCAAGTAAAGAAGTAGTCTATCAGAAAATCAGTAACAAATAACATTCGTTAATTTTCTTTCCGGCTCAGATTAGTTCATTGTTATTCGCCAAGCGCTCAATCTTTTCACTTGAGAACTTTCTTGTTTTTACCCAAACCTATTCACAAACTTACCGGCTGTTTTGAAAGGGAACCTTAGTCGACGGTATACTACAAACTAGAATATGAATACGTCTTTCTTTAAAAAAAAAATAAAGCTTACCGGTTTACTGTGCACAATTCCAGGGTATGTCGTCGAATCTTTCTTGATCCAATTTGCCAGAAACTTCAAATAAATGCTGCCTTCACCGTTCTTAGGTTGAGTTCCGATCATGCCTTCCATTGTTCTTTGCAAGTCTTTATTTTGATTGAACGTGGACGAGGTCGCGCCGTCTGTTCCAATCCACACCCAGCCTTTCCCGGTCATGCCTAGCTCTTTAATCTGCTGAAAAACCGTCTCTGTATCATGGCGAACCATACTGATGAGGTGAACTTGAGATCCCGACGCTTTCAACTGAAAAATAATGGAGCATAGATGAGGTAACTGTCGACATATACCACTTTCAACTGCTGAATAATCGTCTGGATAAAGAGCAGATCTAAGGGAGAGGCTTTCATGTATGTTTCAGTTTAAGTCAGCGAATAACTTAAGAGATTGTTAACAATGTTAGAAAAAGACAGAAACAAGTAGTTCTGTATACAAGGCAATGCATAACCCAAAACGTTTGAGTTTTAAAATCTATATATCCATCATTTTGGAGACGAGGTACAGGTAGCATTAACAACGTGTAGTATAGCCTACGTAGCAAGCGTTTCCGTTTGGTTTCGGAGCAAAAGGGGACTTTCGGTTTTGACCGCGCGAGAAATGAAACGAGAACAAAAAAAATTTTTCGCGCGGTCTTTTGACTCTTGTTCCTCATTCTTTGCTCCTAAACCGCACAGAAACGCTTGCTACGCAGGCTACGTGTAGTAACTTTAACACAACAACTGAAATTACCTGTTGTATTTTTGGTCTGACGGTTGCTGCTCGCGCATTTACATCGAAACGTTGTCTGCTGACCACACTGACTGGCACATCAGCCATACCGGTAACCTCGTTCTCAAACATATCCGCTAGTTCCTTTCCGTAAATATCGTTTGTGGCTACAGTACCAACTTCAGGTAATAAGTACTTCCGAAATAAGGCTGCGAGAGCGGAAGCTTGGTGAACATCAGAAGGACAAGTTCTAAAAAAATACTTGTACTTTGTTTTGTCCGAGAGAATTGCAGACGTTGAGCCGTACGAAACTTGAGGAACTCTGTTGTTCCTGGAACCTGTGAATTAAACAACCAAAAAATATTAAAATCCGCCAGTAAACTCTGTTCCTGGAATCAAAGTTCTTACCTCCTAATGTCTAAAAACACTAGGAATATATATAAAAAAATTACTCCGATAATACATACAAGTGTTTTTGAGAACGAAATAATAGTACATAGGCTTTACTTACAATCTAAGTCGTTGGAAACAAAGAAGTGAACTTTTGAATTTCACTGGACAAGTTAACCAAAAAACCTCAGGCCACGTTAAATGTTGCTGAACAATAAAAATGATACAAGGAGTCTTCTTGAACAGACACCTTTCTATGACGGACAACTCTCTAAAGCGGACACCCATAGATGGACTGTCGTTCTGTTTTTCTTTCTTTATTTTCTGTCTTATATTCAGTAGCAAGAATGGGCCGCGAAGGGAAAGGATTCCCGCGTGGAAAGAGGAAGACAATAAGAATTCTACGCTCTCTCAGAAAGTGAACATTATAACGCCTTGGTTGGCCCGCTATTGCATTGTGACGTATGCATAATTATTGCATAATTTCTCACTCCCCACCCGTGTCTACTCTCTCGCGCGCCTCGTTTATCTCGGGCGACATATTTCCTACGTGCCTATTAAGCAGACTGTTAATCTCTAGCAGGAGGAAACATTTAAAGGACACGCCTCAGTTGTTCAAAAGCTGGATGGCGCTATCCTCGCAATATTAAAAACGCTATCTACTATATGAGTATTAGGGATACCAATTGCGCTATACAGAGGATAGAGATTTATCCGTGGGATAGCGATATCCATCTTTTGAAAAACTGGGCCTAGCACTCACAGAAAATTTGGGAGAGCTCACCGCATAATTTTATTTTCAGGGTTTTTGTTAGGCATCAGAGATCGGAGAATTCTCCGTTTAATCCACAGAAATCTCCGGCTAATGGTCGGTAGCCTATGACTATTTTTTTTATTTGGAAGTGGAGCCTATTTCAAAGTATTTTCCTGCAACCTTACTCCTTTCTCCTACTACCAGAATTCTTAACGAAAACCCTGCATTTTGGGGGGAAATTACCGCAAGAAAATTCTCCTTACCTAAAACCTCAGTAACAGCTTGAGAGCAGGACGAACGATACGCTCCAATAACAGCCACGACATCATCTTTTACAAGCTGTTCTGCTGCTGCTGTACATGAAGCATTGGGATCAAGTCCGCCATCTTGAATCTTTATGTCAAAATCAACAGACAGCGTCAAATCTCTGTTCATCATCTCTACAGCCACGCGGAATGCTGATTCGAACTCCCGGCCGAGTTCCGATAAACCCGCTAGGTCCGGGTGAATAGGAGCAATGAAGCCTATTCTGAAGGTGGTTTTGCCCGGAAGTCCCTTATCCGTGGGAGGTGTCTTTGTGTTTCCTGGCCAAATTATATCGTTATTCTCTCTTTCAACGCCAATAGTTTGGCTCCATTTGCCGACCTTTACCCACGTGGTTCCCTGAAAACAGAGACGAAAAGAGTACTTATAATTTAGCTCTTTTTTTAAACGATAATTGTGATTGCTATATGGCAGGGATCTTTTCCCAACGGTACCCGCTCCTACTGGTTACACTGAGGACAACTGCCATCTAACCGTAAAACTGTTTCCCGCCAAAAGTCGCCGAGCAGGCAACATACCTGTGCACTATTACCCGCGAAAATTGACCGCTCGCCCGATTTATTGTCACAATTTAATACAAGTAGAAATTTTACTTCGTGGGCTATGAAAAAAAATCTCTAATTTAAGACTGGCCACTCGCGAAAATAGTTAATTTTGTTTCCCTCGAGTCTTGACGTTTCCTCAACTCCTAAAAAGGTTAAGTCCTATTTCACCAGCAATGAAAAGGTATGTGCTTTGTTGAATCCTTTACATACCAGTTTTGAGTGTAGTTGTGACTTCTTACCCTTTCAAATGAGTTCTCGTCAGAAGTATTTTCACTCAGCAGTAGTTGTTTTTTAGGATGATTTTACAAATTGAAATTAAGTAACTATGTCGCGGAAATTTCGACTTTGGCAACTTCTGGGCGGGAAAGGGTTTTAGCTTCTAAAGAAAAGGTATGACCGACCGTTTACTAAAATGGATGCCATTTTTCAAGACACGATTCTTTGAGAAAAATTGAAAGCAGACAGGAACGTTTCTCTTACCTGAAAATTTCCAACGTTGTACCTCGGAGTTTCAAAGTACGTGTTAGGACCTGTTAAAAAGATTAAGAGGCATTTTAGTGGAAGAAAACGATGCAAAGCAGTTTTAATCCTTTTTAAACAAAAAAGGTCAACTTTTGAAAAAGTATTTGATTCAGTTCAATTTTTAGTTCACTCAATCAGCCACAAAACAGTAGAAAACATAAAACGCACAAACCTTGAGCACCGACAAATGCATTTTTCTTATCGTTGAATTTCTTCAATTCGTCAAAAACAACCTCCCGTAATTTGGAAGGGGAGTCATTCTATATAAAAACAACAAAATACCGTTTTCTGAGAACTTCCAATAGCTTATCTAATGGTAGAAACGCGTTTCTTACAAGAGTATTCAGCTGGAATTTGGACAAAAGAAGAAATTTACCTCGGTTATCTTGCGTTGTCTCGCTAATTTGTCGAACGCCAGATAGTATGCATACACTGCATCATAAACTTGCGGCACGTAAGATGAAGTTCGCAACTGTTGGAGAACATTGCAAAGCAAAGGTTATAAAACTTAACAGCTAGCATTAAGAACTAATCTCAACTTAATGATAAGAAGGATACGCAGCATTACGATATGGCGTGTGGGAGTTACAGCGAGAACCCAAGCTGGAGCGGGTGCGAAAATACTCTTTTTTAAAAAAGCGATCGTATAACCGCACCCTGTCAGCCGAGTCTTCCCTTTGCTTGCTCGATTTTGGCGTACTTGATGAAATGGAAACCTGGCCCAATATCACTTGACTGTTGTGACTAGCATGGATACCCCAAAATCAGGCCTGTATTCAACTGTTTTCCCGGCACAATTGTCTCTTACTCTGATTTCCTATTTTCCTCAATGACATGCCTAGTGAATTCACAAAAATGGTTCTCTACGACGAGTCCTGGCGTTGTGTCAAATACACATAAGATTTCCAACCTGATTTTAAGGTATCCAGTCTAATAACAACCATAACAACTTGACGGCTCATACGACACTCTAATCATCGCTAGATGGAGTTCAACCTGGACGGAAAACTTACATGTTTATAAATGATTCCAGGGTACTGATCCTGAACGCGCATTTGGGACTTTTTAATCCACCGAACAATGATGTTCAGACTCAGTCGGCCAAAACCTCCTAAAGGACGAAAACAATTAAACAGTTAAAGCTGCTTTAGCACCGATCGAAGAATAAACTAAAATTAGCTAAGACGACGCTAGTCGAAGAAGTTTTCAAAAAGAGTTAAGTTATCTTCATTTCAATTTTCTTAGTTTGTATATTGGAAAAATCTGATTACACAGTTCGTTTGAGAATTCACAACGTTCGAATTCTCCAAGCGCCTAGAGACCAGGCAGATCTTTTGATATTTTAACAGGTTAACGTCACATCTGTGTCCTGTAATAACACGTTTTATCATATCCGGGGGAGGGATAATGTCATTCGTTATCCTAGGGTTTCTTATATCGGGCTTTTCTTGTAACAGAGGCACGATATATCGGGATTCCTGCCCTACATGGAACGGAATAATACTATCTGGACTGTGCTTTGATTGGTTCTATCGAGGTTCACAAAATGGTTTCTATTTAAGCCTTTCTCTACCAGGGTGAAGGATGTAGTCTTGTAAGGTAATTTTTGAATTTGTGGAAGAAATCCCATGATATTACCACTTTTAAAATGAATTATCTTCTGTCGTACTTTCAACATGGTACTATTTATGGAGTCTTTTCACATAACGTCACTTCCGTCATTTTCGATAAAACGGCGGTCAAGTTGGTGTCCCAAACCAATCCGGTGTGAATTACCATTCATTACCTCTTCAGCGCTACTTTCATACAGTGCTATCTATTTAGTTTGTAGATCTAACTTTTTGAGTCCGTGGACGAAATCCTATGATGTTACAATTCACAAGAATTCTCTTCAGCAGTATTTTTATTTGTTCAACATTCTACAAAGTGAGATTGGGAAATGTTGTAGAATTTTAACTTTAGGTAGCGTAAGCAACAAGAACGGCGACGGCTACAGAAACGTCACTTAAAAAGTGAATTCGCGCTGCCTCAAACTTTAATTATCGCGCTTATTTCATCTCGTTTAATTTTTCATATGTGGGCAAATTTTTTTTAATTCTGAAGGACTGTATCAAAGTTCAGAAAAAGAAAAAGAAAGCTGTTGTCTTGTGATCCCGTCTTCGACAAAACGTGAAATTAGAAACTTTCACGTAGTAGTCGTGCAACGATGGCTAGGAAATGTACAAAAAAGCGTGATGCACGTGCAAAGTTGTTGTTTGCTGAACTTAACCCTTTCACTGCCGGAGTGTTTGATTTTTGTTTGGACTGAATTCAAATATCGCCTTTTTTGTCAAAATTTTAGCCGTTCCCGAAATTTGCCGTCGCCGTCGTCGTTGCCGTCGCCGTCGTCGTTGCTTAAGCCCCCTATTTCCCACTTGTGGGAGTGCAAGGGTTACAAATGTAACGTACCTGTGGGCATGATGCCTACGCTGCCCAGCATGGCCTCAGCGGCTTTAGTCTGGTTGGTAGGAGTAACAGCTGTAAGACCATCGCTACCAAGCCACACCCAGCCCTGGCCAGTCATACCCTATAAAACAACAATACGTCACACAGACGTTACTAATGGGTAGACAGAGGTTAAAATATCACACCTCCATGTCTATACGCTAGATTTTAGACGTTTTTTTTTTTTAAATTTTCTCAAGGATAAGGGACAACCACTAGATGCAAATTTGTGATGCTACAACCAGTTGCAAAAATGTTGAGACACTCCCACGAAAAAACGATCTTTCTTGCTTCAAATCGCTCCTGGTCATAGGTCTGTGAGATACGATACTGACCTCCCTCCTCCCTCCCATTCAAAGTTGTTCCTCCTAGTTTTGAGTATGGTCTTGTATTGCTAGCAACTTTGATAAAAGGTGGAGGGGGGGATCACAAGCACAAGATCATGGACAGGCCATTTATGCCAAAATACGGTACAGTGTGTCAAGTACTTTTGCAACTGGTTGTAGCAAATGGCGAGGACAGGTATTAGGCTTATGGTCGACATAATATGAATAGATAAGTAAACTTTAACAAGGTACAATCAATCTTTTTTCGTTTTGTTTTTGTGTTTTGGGGGAAGGGGAAGGCCGAGAAGAAGAGTTTGTGGCTAAAATATCTCGCAACACTGCCTTTTTTCGAGTCCATTTGAATGCAAGCCAATGTTGCAATACCTAAGGAGAGAAAGCCTGTTCCAACAAACCTTGAAGCTTGTAAGTGTGAAGTGCAGACAAGGTCAATGACCAATCATTCTGTTTTGATTTGCTATGCCTCTTTGAAGAAGGCGTTATAAGCTTGGTTAATAGAATTACATTAATACGCCGAAAAGGGATTAAAAAATACTTCGACGTCACTAGGAGGGCTGTAAGTATCAGATTTCTCAGTGAGTTTTTTCTTTTCTTGAGAAGACCAATGTAGCTTGCCATGGTGTGATACTTGAAATTAAACCTATTAAACAACACTATAAAGTCTATCTGGGGAAAGCTTGGAATCCAGCTAATAGGATTTCTTTTTACCTTTCCTTTCGCAGTTTCTAAGATAGTTCGGGCAGCTTCAGGCTGAGCAAATATGAGGTTTACTCGAGTTTGAGCGTCTTTTATCTGCAACAAAAAAATCCAGACCAAAAAATTCAATATTGATCATTTATCTTACCAGTGAACAGACAAGTAATTTGTTCAGTGTTGCAGGTGGCCTGAGTTGTTAGCAAGAAGGAGAACGTCTTTGTTACGCTACACAGTCAGCTATTGCACACGCCACTAAGGTTACAAAAAAAACTGATCCTCGGAGTGGAACACAGGAGTGCTTATAAGAACACGTTCAAATTGTCATCGCCATTGCACTTGCATGCAGTTTACCAATTAAAACTGTGCAGACGTTAAGTGAGATTAGTTCTACTTCCCTGCTGTTCTTTCAACCACTGTGCGCGTGTGGACTAGATTAATTCTCTTTAAGCAGGAAAGCCCAAAATTCCGGATCGTGCTCTGAGTCAATTTATAACTGGGACGATAATTCAGATGACCTGTACTTGACACTAAGAGGGGAGGGGAGTGTAACGGGTCGACCGCTAAGCTTATCACAAACAAAAGGCATTCACCTTGTAAAAGGCTTAGCTAATTTGCTATGAGACAAACTTAGAACGGATTATCAATAATTCGAAGCCGTTAAGAGCAAGGCTCTTGGAAAGAAAAATAAAGAATTTCCTCTCTCAAGAGGAGACAAATTGATAGTGGGGGCGCTTAACGCCATGATGTCTTCCCTCTGTTGCTATTTTTGGCCTTTTTGCAATTTTAAAATGTTTTATTCTCGTTGATGATGTCATTTCAAAGCGATTAAAGACATTTTTGGGAGGTAACGAGGCGTTTTGATAGATAATCAGACAATTGCGCAAACAACGATTACTTAGAAAAACATAAAAGTAATTGATGTGAAAATTCTTAACCACATCGCTCTACTTAAAAGCTTTTTAATACCAGCAGCTTGATGTTACGATAACTTTTTTTCTAAACGCCAATAAAAAAAATATTTTGTGGATTGCTACGTCAACAACGAAAGGCCAAGGACGCTCGTTATAACGAGGTTTGTTATATCGAGGTTCTTCGTTATATATTTTACTATTACTGAGGCAAAAAAATATCGTTCGTTGTACCGAGGACTTCGTTACAAAGAGTTTCGCAACATCGAGGTTCCACTATATCAACTCTTACCAACTGCAGTTTGTTGTCCAAGACGTCTGAACTTGCTGTACTGGAAAATCTCGAAGAAGCGTGAATTCGGATTCCTTGTAAGCGGGCTGCCGTTTCGAAACTATCTGCAAGGTTTTTGGCATACTCATCATCTGATGTAGCAATGACGCTCACCTGAAATAACGGATGAAGGAGGGGAGAGGGGAAGTTAGAGAATGTCTGTAAACACACAAAAACCCGGATATTTGCTGAGCAGGTGGAGTTAAGCTGAGTTCAGAAACCACTAAGCTTGCAGCTTAAGCCAGTGAAGAATCTTTCCTTATTCAACCGTTGTTTCTAAAAGCTACGTAAACGAAACTTGATGGACTAGATAAATAATTAAAACTGCCATAACAGGTCTCAAATCATGCCTTAGTTATGTGCTTAGCTGCAACATTGGTTTTGAGCGTTTACTAAGACTACTGCATCGAACAGAAAACAGACTGAGCCAGTGATCCTTCCCGTCCTAAAAGTCGATAACAATTACAGCCAAACCTGTATACAACGGCCCTGTATATACCTGTCACCCTGTATATTACGGTCACCGGACAACTTCCCAAAATTTTCTTGCAATATTTTCTGACCTGTATATAGCGGTGACCCTTTATATTTAAAATGGTATCTAATGATCACCTTGCCATTTTCCAAGGGTGACTGGCGTTTTACACAGGTTTGACTGTATTAAGACATGAAACATAGTTTTTCTTTGAAGACTGTGAAACAACGAATCCTCTTAAGTAGGGGTTTACGTGGTCGTGCCCTACCCTTTAGTTATAAAGGACTTGACAACTTAAAATGAAAAAAGTTGATAGAGGGAGTTGACAAGTTAGTTGCTCACCCTTCTCCAGTTGAAGTAAGTCACCAACTCAGCCAGGGCGCTTGCCTGATGTACATCACTCGCACAAGTCCTGAAGAATCGTGGATACTTCTTCTTGTTAGAAAGCTCTGCTGCGGTTGACGCATATGATATCTGGGTCATAGTCGGTGCTAACACAAAACAATAATCAAAGATTGAAAACGTTTAGTTTTGAACGCACATTATGTCGCCCTGAAGTGTTTTCGAAAAGATCAGTCGTGTTGTTAGAAATTACAGCAAAGCTTTATGAATAGACGAAGAAGACTATTTGGAAAGGAGGAGTTGTAAAATTCTACTGCCACGTGAAGCAGCCTATAAATCAAACCTCACATCAATCGTGACATTAACGAGCGTAATTCCTCATAAATCTTATATTTCATCTCTCACTTTAAAGCTCATTGTAGAAATGTATTAAAACCTTAATGTTAACTGTTTTAAAATTTAGATACTGCATTTCAAAAACATTTTAGGAAAGCTTAGTTGAACACTACATTGGCAAGCTACCAGCCTAACATCTAAAATCTATTCAACTCTCAGGCGTACATGCACTTTTTACGGGATTCTATTCCTGAGACAACAAGTTCGAACCCCACACAGAAAAATTAAAACGCCTTGACTTTCTCCCGAATTTTTTAACCTTCCAAACGGACCTTACAATGCCGATACAGTTTACAGAGAAATAAATACCGTATTCTGCTTTCTAATCTAAGGTGAGAAAGACTGTTGTAGACAATTTTGCAAACAAAGAAACTGTTTGTGCTGGAGCACGCAGGCCGTAAAAATTGTGATTATGCCTTCATCGCAAGTTTAAATATAACTGATTTTCCTTTAAGCATCTACATTTCTGTGATAGATTTCGTATCACGGGATTTATTAACCCTTTCACTGCCAGAGTGTTTGATGGAGTTTTGTAAGGTGACTCTAACTTTTGAGTCTATGGACGAAATCCTATGATGTTACCATTGAAATGAAAACTCTCTGCCTATACTTTCACATGGTGCTATTTGTTTGTCAAAATTTTAAAAAATGAAATTTGCAAATTTGGTCGAAATTTGCCTTTGGCCACATTTGGCAGTGAAAGGGTTAAAATGACTTAAAATCACATGCATGCTAATAAGACGGAAAACAAACTAATTACAAGATAAAGGCAATGATAACTACAACAAACAGATTCGGACCACAAATCTCGCTCGATTACTTGAGCAAACGTTGGTGTCCATGATTTTCTTACCGTTGTCTCTGAAGTATTGATGTGAAGCTTTTGAACACGAAGAACGCATTGCTCCAACGACACCCACAATGTCCGAATCCGCCGCAAGCTGCTGGGCAGCGATCTTACACGTAGTGGACGGATTCGTGCCTCCATCTTTGATCATACCTGAAAACGAAGTTTGTCAATGACGCTCAATACAAAGGATTTGTTTTACAATCACTGACTAAATCAAGTTGTTATAATAGTCAGTATATAGCGTAATGCTCCTCTTCTTAAAATCACGAAAAACAATAATCTTTTGCCAGTTTTCCAATAATAAATCACAAGAAATCTTAGAACAAGAAGTGTAACAGAAAAGCTAAAAGAGAGCTTGTATTTTAATGGCCATACTATAGGTTTTCATCCAGAGACTCAAATTTATTTTGGCTTGGTTTGAAAGAAAAATAATTCTCAATAACGAGACATCAGACATTTACACAGTACTGCAAAAGAACATTTTCACCATTCTATTCATGGTAGAGACTCAAAACACATAGGCAAAAAAGTATTTGTCCATGTTTCAGGCTGTTCTACTTTTGAGGACAATGATTTTTAAAGCGGCGAATCTCGCTTTTTAAAATCGTAACTCGTTCTGATATGTAGCTAGGATGTTCAAGCAGTACGGCTTTGAACATAACACGATAGTATGGTCGGTACAAAACAAGTGAAAGAACTTTAATTGCTCATCCAACGGGATGGGTACGTCGTCAGAATGTGCCAAAATGTCGCGTGATGTAGCAACAATACAATACGGTAGCCGAGGAGTCATTGACTAATTGATTGTTCCTTGCAATTATGGCCCAGTTCAGAGAATAACAAGATTAGTTATTGCACAAGTGAATCTAGTTATTGTCCACGAGAGACAATACTTTGAATTAGCAATTAAAAGAGTTTTTTTAACTTAACAGTTGCCCTAGAGGCTCATGCTATTCTTAAGTGATTGGCGACCTTCTTCCATAGATTGGCCTTAAAAAAATCTGTGTCATAGTTAGGTATGACGATAAAGTACTGCATAGAAAGGGAAAATCAAAACTTCGAAGTTTTCCGAATAAAAAGAATTTTGAATTAAGAATACATGACAAAAACCGAAAGTCCGATGTAAAACATGCAAGAAAGCTGAATAACTCATAGGGAATCTTTACTAGACACCACGCCAAGGCACGAATCCAATTTCTCGTTAAGGTAAATTTTAATTCATACCGGCTTTAAGCCAGTTTCTTATTAAAGAGGGAAATAAACACTCACTTTTAAAATCCATGGAAAATTTGATTTTACTACCATTCTTGGCTGCATCGGCATTTATGAGCTCAATGGCGATTTTGAACGCTGAACTCTGAAAGAAGACCACAACACAAGTGGAATTTGTTAGTCAGAGGATAACATAGAATATTGAAATGAGTTGTAAGATTCAATAGGTAACAAACTTACTAATTCTTGTCCCAAAGACGCTGTGGCACCGAGAGATTTGTCCAACGCTCCTATAAAGCCCAACTTGATAGTAATGTTCTTGGATTCTACAGGGCCTGGAAACAAGATGGAGGTAAGAGAATGCCGTGTGTTAAACAGATGACTGAGTTCGTCCAAGCCTTCTTTCAGGAGGGGAAGAAATGATGCATTTGAAAATGGATTCAGGAGAAGAACTATCATGGTGAAACTTAATTTCAGAGCGTTCATTGTGACCAAAGAAAACAGGACAAAAATGAGACGAGACAAAGGTAGGTTGGTCGGGTGGGTTAGGTAACTAAGTAAAGATATCAAGTTTCTTTGTAAAGACAAAACAATCTTTCTAGAAACTTCTAGAAATCAGCAATGATCGATCAGCAAAATGCACAGTGTACTAAAACTAATTCTTCAAGAACAGAAGGAACAGGGCAATTGAAGATCCAAAATAAACTTTTAAGGTGTAATTTCCTGAACCGTTTCCCATCTGTTATCTGAATGCCTAAAAATCTATTCACAGTTTTAAACACTTCCTTCGGATCTTTGAGCACCGGTATTCCGATACAGGACCTTTTTTTTTCTTATTAGTACAATCGGCATTAAGCCATGATGAAATAAAACAACGGTTGATAAAAATCCTAAATAAAGGCTGAATTAAAATTTTCAGTACTGGACGAAACTGCTACGTGAAGATATTTCGTCAAACTGAGACAGGTATGCAGGGCTACTGAAAGGCGCTTGCTCCTTCCTTCGTAATGCACGAGAAGAGCTTAATTTTAAACATATGATAGCACGAAAACGTTCGCCATTACAACAAACTTGACTAGAACCTATCAGGTTAGCACCTAGAATAGAGAAATGTGGGACATTGGCTTATCCACGAACATCTCATTAAGTCAAAGAAAGCTCTAAATGAGCTTAGCAATGACTTCTGTAAAAATGTCACTGCCGTTGCATATTGAACTCGGTCCAGAGGAATCTCCTAGAGCATCCATCCTGCACTAATCCAGTACTAACAGTAATTAGCAACCTAGCACCTAGTTGAGGGCTCTATAGTCACTTACTACAAACCCAATTCCTTCCCTGTGTCTCTGCCTTGATTAATTGCCCATTGTTGATAACTGTGACAATGTGGTAGAGACGCTGAACTACCTGTTCTCGATTTAGTAGACTCACTTACCCGTTAATACTGTTGCTAGAGTGCAAACAAAAAACGAAATCGCGGCATAACGCATTTTCGTGAGATTTCGCTCCTTTAGTGAAGTGCTTGCTACCGCTTTACTCTTGACACGTTCAAAGCAAAAAGACCTTTACACCGCTTGGGTTAACACGCCTCTTTTATGGCGTCAAAACGACGGTTGCGCGCGCGGAAGTGGCGTCCTCCACCATCCACCGCATTGCATTGGAACGCATACTTTACCCAACTTACAATTTTTTTTGGTTAAATTTTTAGCATCATCAGGGATTTTTATCCTCCAATAAGATTTAATTCTCCGGTTATGAGTCAGCCATAGAGTTTATCTCTGCGATCGATAGCAAGGCAAACGACGTGTGTTTTCAGCGACTTTGTTACGACTTTTTAGATGAGCACGCAACGACTACTTTGAGATAAACCAGGCAGAGAATTGAAGAAAAAAGTAAAAAAATAAAAAAATAAATAAAAATAAAAGAATTCAACTAGAAGGCGGAGCATATATTACTACAAAAACATTGCTCGCATAAACTGGTAACTATGAAACATGCTTTTGTTTAACTTAAAATCAAGTAGACCGAATTTTTGTAAGATGACTAAAATTACAAAATAATAGTCAAGGTTTCTATTTGGGGGTACATAATGTATAAATAATAATAACAGAATTTTAAAAAAATAAAACAAATACAGTACGAGATTAACAACCCTTTTATCCCAACTGGATACAATGTAAAGTATCTTTTTGAGAAAATTCAAGGGTCCGTTAAGGAGATTGATTTGTCTTTGTCGTTTAATTTAAATACGTATTTATCCGGCGGAGCATTTAAAAGTGTTGTGATAAGACGTTCAAAGCCGAATCGGTCCACCAGAGCCGCTTATATGAACCATCCATTGGAATGCAAAGGAAATTTGATATGGGATAATAGGGTAGTGCTAAAAAGACAAACAAGGTGTACTAATCGCCAACTGACTGGAGAGCTTCCTGATTAAATGGAATCAATAGAAATGCAACAGATTGCGTGCAGTGATTATGACACAGATTGGCAGTTTTAAGTCAACTAAGAAGGCGGTGCAGTTTGCTAAGTGGACAGATTCCAATGCATTCTTAGAATTCACTGATCAATTATAGATAAGCTAAGGTGATTGTGGGGCACTTTTAATAACCGGCGGAGAAAAAATTAAAGGAAAAATATATCAAAGCTTCAAAAGTGCGATAACTTTTCAGCAAAAACTAACATTAAATATAGCGATCTTGCCGCTTCTTTAATCTCTGACACTAGATATAGAGTCTTCTGTAAACAAACCCAGAGCTGTAAAATGACACCAGCCACCAAGAACACAGCAGATCATTAATCATAATAGTTTGTCGGGTATTAAAACTGATGAAATCGTGCTAACAAGGTTCCGCTAACAAACCTTGGCCAATTTGGAGCAAAATCAGTCTAGGAAGCTTCTTTTGCCTTGCAAGAGCAAATTTTCTTCGCATACTGGAAACAGATGCGTGCACGAAACAAACAGTCGAAGACAGGAATGACAACGCCCAAGGAAACGAAACAGAGATTCTTTCTTCGAACCTGCATTGCGTTGCTGCTCCCAGCTAAGGGACTTCTTCGGGTGAGCGCCTTACGTTTGCACCAGCCGTTTATACATTTCCTACAAACTAATCGTTATGTAATTGGACACAAAATTCATAGAGAAAACACCTTGTAAACAGTTTTTACTTCATACAAGTAGAACAGAGATACGAGGCGTTCTTTGAGTACCTTGTCTTGCTTAGACCTCGCCCGATAAAGAGTAGAAAGTACCCCCTAATTTGCGTGATCGTTTCCTTCATTTAGTTCCTAAGTTGAATGTTATCAAGAATAAGATCTGCAGATCAGCTTGAAAGTCATTATAAAATTTCGTTCGTTGATCATCTATTTGACAAGAATAGATCTCTAAATTCTTTGCACATCAGCGCTTGTAAGGAATTACTGTTGTTTAATTGCCATATGTTCTCACGAACTAATACCAAGGACCAATATAGTTACCTGGAAGTCATATTTAAAGAGTTTACTCTCAAACGTATGATCAGCAGTGACAAAGTTATCTACAGAATGTTTTATAAAGCTTTTTAAATGATTTAGATTCATTTCAGATGATGGAATTAAAGGAAAAGCTTTTTAGTACATCTCTCTACTGGCGATCTTGAACGAAACTATAGTAATTTCACGTTTCTTGTGGCGTCCCAAATTTTAGTAATCACCACATTATTTTCCATATAACTGAAACTTGGCGATCTGAAAGCTTTTCGCTGTGCTCTTGCTTTTCTGGCCCTATTCTGCCCAGCTGCAACGAGCGATCATTGCTGATAACTCAACCATTACTTTACTCAAGGCACGATTCACTGATTGTTTAATTTCGAAATTGCCCTAGTTAAGGTCTTTGCAATATCTTTTCATGCAACCTTGTCACTTACCCAACGATCGATATAGAACACATCCAATGAAGTCTATGATCACAGTGCACCCACTTCTTTTCATTCCCTTTCGTGCGGCTATTTTTGAGACGGTAGCAAAGCCTAGAACATGCAAGGATCCTAACATTCTAGGAAAACGTATTTGAGTTTATTAAACTGAGCGATGCAAAGCCATGACTACGTATTCCTCGAAGCTAGGCAGACATTACAAGGAAATCGTTTCAAGCTCTTGACATCTTCCTTCATAACAGAGAAGGACTCAAACATATTAATTCTTGGCTTACGGTATTGTTTATTAACGCACAACTGAGCAACCCTATGAAGCTTTATGACAGAGCCTTTAATTCACAATTTACAAGACGTCGTAGAAAAAACCGTATTGGGACATTTTGGCGAGACTCAAATATAATCCCTGCGGGCGTGAGATCTTTTCTCATCCATTAATTTGATTATTGAAATGGTTGGTTTTTACAATGAATATTTCTAACACTATTACAACTCTATTCAAAATCTCCAAATGGAAGACTCATCTCTGGAGTAAGATGTTGTACTTTGCAGTATTTTGACAATTACAAAAGCAAATTAGAAGCTAGAGCGGTCTGTTAACGTTTTCATTATTCTTTGAGTGTTTTATGTTCATGACGGATACTATGTAGTTCTAACAATTGAATTTGTGAACTGAATCTTACAGTGTGACCATTCAAAAGAAAGCAATTTGTCATGTAGTACCATTTAATATTGCATTTGAATAAAATAATATTCGGAAGCTCTCTGAAAACTTGACTTCGGCAAGTGCTAAAAGGGACAAGGTTAAATGCGGTTTATAAGCTACATACATGTCAAAGCAAGCGGCTCTTGTTTGCCAAGGAATTTAGTCTCCTCGCTTAAACGATAATTACTACTATTGAAGTGTTGATGAATGTGTTCGGAAATCCTGTTTTTCACACTGATGACCGAAATAAAGCCTTCACAATTCTTAAATCGTCTACGGCAGCAGCCATCTTGTTTATTTCTCACTTTTTGAACTCCGTTTCTCCAGTCATGGTTTAAGCCATTACAGTTATTACAAATTATGTAATTGCCTCAGTAAACTGCAAGGATTTATAGACTGTTAGAGGCAGGTAGAAGTTCTCTTTGCGGTAGATAGAAATGAATTCAAGAAATGCCAGCCTGCAACATAACATTTTACTACAATAGTATTTTTATCCTCTTGACCAGTCGTCAATACTTTCACCTGAGGGTTACCAAAATGTTTAAACTAGGGGCTGGCCGAATCCCAACATATTTTTGGTCAAAACTACATTAATTTTCATCTTTGTTTGATAGAAAATCAATCATACTTTTCTTTCATAGTTTGAACAATTTTATAGCCGTTAGTTCATGATATTCTGGTTCATTATTAATGGCAGGTTAATAATTGTCGTGTCTACCTTCTAACTAAGGGAATAAACTAAAAATTCCACTGACTACCTGTTATTACAGCAACCAGAAAATAAGGCTATCTATACACAAATTAATGACTTTCTTTAGTTCGCAATACTTGTCTAAAAGCGACCCGAAATTGTACGACAATTTTTCTTGACCTTTCATCCTTGTTTGTTTATTTGTTTTACAGTCCCACAACATTATACAAAATTCTCAGCATCATGTTGATAGTTTATTAATAATATGTTCAAA